GCCCGTATTGTTGCCCGCCGCCGCTGCCTCCTTTCTCGTCCTCTGCCGGCGGAAAGAATTCATCCAGAGACTGAAATCGCCCCTTTTTATCCGCTCTTCCCACCATCTCCCGGCTTTCCTGTGGGGAGCTTGTTTGGCTGGTGTTTTAAAAATACCCCGAAAACGGCGATTTTTAGAAAGAATTCAGGAAAGTGGCTTTCCTGTGGAAAGGTGTCTTTTTTAACAAAAAGAAGCACTCTCTCTATATATATTATTATATATATTGCTCCCTACCTTTAGTTCCTGTAGGGCAGCTGCTGAGGTGACTTGCGTGGAGGCTTTTTTTTTTTTTAGTTGAATTTTGCAATTTTAAATCTTTTTTAGAAGTGTTATTTTACAGCGAGGTGAATTCTTCTCGGCTTTTTTTTTTCCTCTTTTTTTTTTTTTTTTTAATCCCTCCCATTTTTTTCCCACCTCTCGATTAAAAGCCGAGCTATCCAACCTCTCATTTCTAACCCTGCCGGGACTTGGCTGTCGCGATGTACAACACATTGTGGGATATGGACCGCGATGACACGGACTGGAGGGAAGTGATGATGCCCTATTCCACTGAGCTGATATTTTACATTGAAATGGACCCTCCAGGTAGGGAGCCGAAGCCTGCGAGCTGGCCCCGCACCCCTGGCAGCGGGTCGGGGGCTGCCGTCCATCCCTGCCCTCCCTCCTCCTGCTGACTTTTCCCTTTTAAAATAAAAGGAGAGGGGGAGGGGGGTGTGAAAATTAATATCTGTAGTTAAACTTTGTGTAAACTTCCCAGGGACTTGAGCTCGCTGTCTCCTGGGCAAAAGTATTTTAATACTGGGGTTTTTTCGTGGGGGAGGTGGGAGGAGAAGAGCAATTTATGGTGCCTTTTGGGAGATGGAAGGAGGCAGGAGGAGGGGAGCTGCTCGCAGCCCCTCTCCCGTGTCTCCTTTTTTGAAAACCTTTATTGAAAAGTGTATATTTCGGCTGTATTCGCTCCTAGAGGAGCGCTTTTATTATCCTCTTCACCTGTGTGCCTTTATGTGCCTGTAACACTTTGATGGTGGTGATTTACCCACCTCCATTCAGTTCCAGTTTAATCGCTTTTACAGTCTCCAAGACCCTTTTCTCCGCAGCTCTCTTCCAGCAGTGACAGATGAGGTGTGTGCTGTCGCTGGGTTTTGGTGATGGGGGGATAATACTTGGGAACGGGCTGGAATCCACCCCTGGAGGCACAGTTACTTTGATAGCACTTAATAACCTTGTTCAAAAGGATTTGGTTCACTTTTTCTTCCCTCCCCCCTCCATGGATTGCTAGTGCTGAAAATGGGGAAATGCATTATCCCTTGCTTGCCTGAAGTTTTTAGATGGGGCAGAAAGTTTCTTTTGTGTCTGAAGAGGGAGGGAAGGCTTGTGAGGAGGAGAGGTTGAGTCTTTCTGTGGTAAATGAATTAAAGTAAGCATAAATGGGTACTGGTGAAACTGTATCTATACCTGTGAGAGTCAAACAGGCTGAAGCAGTGAGGTAATTGAAGGGCCTTTATCTTCTCAGGTCTCTGATCTGTACAGCCAGAAGGTACAGTAAAATAGCCACCAAAAGTCTTAGCCTGCAGAGAAATTGATAGCAAATAAGTAATTCCAAGTGCCGTCTTTTATGGGGCACGTACTTTCAGAGTGTGCTTTTCAACCTGTGCCTGAATCGTGGCATGTATCTGCAAGTGTGGTTTATTCTCTTTGTTTCAGCACAGTGAGCTGTATTTTTTCTCTCTGGAGGTATGTGGTACTTTAATTAAAACAGGAGGAGGTGATCATCCTCAGATTTTTGGATCTCAAGGACCTGTACTTCCTTCTTTTGATAATTCTGGCACTTGAAAAATTGGACAGATCTCTCATACACACAGCACTGGCCACTACTCATTAAATTCTTGCATAGCTGACGCTACCTATTTTTAGATGTTACTCCTGAAAGCCTAAAGTTCAGTCAAATCACTTTGCTTCTGTGAATTTCAAAGGCTATCTTTCTTGTAAATGCTTTTGATTTTTAACTATTCACGAGGTAAGTATTTGTGTGTGCTTGTATCAAATGAACAAAAACTCAAGTCCCATTGTAGGTGACTTAAAGCAATTAGTGTAGGGCTTTTATTACAAAAAAAAAAAAAATAAAGCCCCTAGAATGGCTTAGTACAAGGAGGCTGCTTAAAGGGGCTGGACAAAATGAACTGGCTAGAAAACAACTTTCCAGTGTTTCTGCAAGAATTTGGCCATGCAAAATTCTCACAGAGCCTTTCAAAGTTTACATTAAGAAGCAGCTCTTCTATCGTTAATAATGCCAATGCTTCCATCACTGGAGCCCTCTTGTCAGGGATCAAGGATCTGCACAGTCCAAACACCCGTTAGCAAAAGGACTTCATGTTACTGATCCCTGAAGTGTTCAGTAACTTTATCTTTCATATTTTTAAACTAGACGAGGCAGAGCTGGAAATGATGCATGGGATAATCCCCATGTGTATGTCCTGATTTCATAGAACTGCAACTTTTAAATTGCAGGGCCAGAGAGGGAGAGTGTGGCAGAGTGGGTTCTGCTTTCCCCCTGTCCAGAGGCAGGGTGGGAAGGCATTTTCTGCCCTGGGATGATAGGTCATCCCTAAGGGGAGTGTGGAGGAATTTATTTGGAAGGCTTAAACCCTCGGCGTGCCTTGGGATAAAGTCACCGCCTTTGCACCCGGTAACAACCAGAGCTCCACTTGGCCCGCTTCCAACAAAAATTTGTGAAGGTTTTTCGGTGCAGCGTGGCCGGAGCTCCTGGGAGGATGAGAGGTGGCGGCGCGGGGCGCCCCCAGAGCAGGGGTGTGGGGCAGCACCCTCGGAGCTGGGGTGCGCAGCAGCATCCCGAGCTGGGGTGTGCAGCATCCCCAGAGTAGCGGTGTGCAGCAGCATCCCGAGCTGGGGTGTGCAGCCTCGCTGCCTCGGCAGCCCCCCAGAGCAGCGGTGTGCAGCATCCCGAGCAATGGTGTGCAGCACCCTCAGAGCAGGGGTGTACAGCATCCCGAGCAGGGATGTGCAGCCCTGCTGCCTCGGCAGCCCCCCGGGAGCGGCGGTGTTCGGCCCCGCTGCCTCGGCAGCCGGAGCGCTCCTTTGTTCGCACAACTTGAGCCGAGACGTCCCCGCTTGTGTTTTGTGCCGCAGCAGCACCGGGCAGTGGCGGATCCCGGGAGCCGAGTGTCTGTGCTCACGCATGACTGCCCCTGATTACATTTTACTGCGTCTAAACTTGAGGCAGAAGACAAAAGCAAGGTGAGCATAATGTGCGGTGTCACCCGTAACCTCCGAGCCGAGGGTGGGGATACTGTTTCTCGTTAAGGGCCGGTAGACCTTTAATTTATCTTGGCAGGCCGTCTTAATACCCACCTTAGCCTTGCCCAATAATAATGCAGAAATAAAATCTGGTGATGGCAGGCAGCCTGCAGCGCAGCCGGAGCTTCTGTCAGGCCTCAGTGCACCTGCACCAGCTTATCAGTGTGCTTGTGTTTGCTGTTCGGGCTGTAGGTGTAAATGGATGTTCAGAGCAGTCCTGGAGCCTCTCAGCTACGAGGTTTGCTCTAAAGTTCAGAAATAAAAGTAATAACGCCTCTTATTATCAAATATCTCACTTTTTTTCTCAACTCGAGCAGAGGCTATCCAGTAACAAGGAACTGCAAGCTTTCTGCTAGGCTTTAATCCATCCTAAACGCAGGAGTTGGGACAGTTTTCCCAGACAGAGAGGTGTAACTAGGGATGCAGCTCTGCCAGCCTCACAAAGCAGAATTTAGAGCAGTACAACCAACACAGGCACCACAGTGGTGACAACCAGAAGGGTGACTCCTGTTACCTCATGCTTTTTCCTCCTGCTTACACTTAATTTTGCATTTATACATGCATCACCAGCATAAGGGAGGATCTCTTTATGGCACATAACACTACATGCGACCAGAAACTTGCAGTATCTAAATACACAAATGGGCCCATCACTTGCATATAGCTAACATAACAGCTTCTCAACTTTCTAATATGGATTAAGTTAGAGTATTGTGGCTGTAGCAGCATCATGTGCTGGCTCTGGCATTAGGAAACTGTCAGGGGTTCACTCATATGTTTGTTGTTGCTGTGGGTCTTGCTATGTGAAAAGACAAGAAAATAGGTTCTGGGTTGAATTTAGTTTACTTGACAATATGGTTCAGGTCTGCAAAAACTTGTTTCTGCCAGAAGCTTCAGAACAGAGGATTTCAAATTGACTGCAAAAGTTACCAGAGTATCTAAAGCACAACTACCTGTGCATTGCCTCACTTCTACTTAGAAGGGCTAAGTAAAGTCTTTCTCTCTGTAGATCTGGGATGCATTATCAGTTGTGTTGGTGATAAAATGTGTAATCATTGAATACATTTTGTCACAGTTGGATGAAAATCAGTAAGAGTGGTCCGCTGGGATTTCTAATACAGATGTCAGCAAAGATATTTGGCTCAACTACAAATTAGAGGTTAGTTTCCTTTGTGTGGGTTATGAAGAAAACCACAAGTTTAAGGCAGGCTTCCTAATGCAGAATGGGCTCTGCCTATGAACAGATAGTACAATAACTCTTTGACCTAAAGCTATATGGGAGCTACCTGTTTGAACCCTGAATTATGACTAACTACATTTATAATTTGATACAGCTGTCTTTTTCAAGAACAGCACTTTGCCTTGCCTCATGTGCTGTAACAATGTTGTTGCTACAAAATCTTTCAATATTTAAACAGGGGGAGCAATAATTTGTGGGCTACTTAGTTTAGGCAGCACTGCCAGTGTATGAGTAAGATAAGTATGCCAAGTATTCAAGGGAAAGGCTGTATTTATTCATTATAGTTTCTATTCTCATATATAATTTGACAACCCTTATTTTAGGGGAGCGATACTGTAATTGTAATTTGGAAAACACAGGGTTCTGAGCTCCAGGGCAGTGTTTACTGGGATTCCAGGTGTGCTGTGTCATTCTCAGTGTTACAGTGGAAACTGAATGTGGCTTCTCAAAGTGGGTTTGTGGTACACAGTAGCCAGATGTAGGTGAACACTTCTTGTCTATGCCTGACTAGTTTTCCAGTGGGAGAACAGATGCAAATTTGAATAGCACTGTCAGTGTTGTCCTTCAGCTTATCTGGCTCCAGAAGCTTATCAAACAAAAGTTCTGTTCTTGCACATCTTAAATAAAAATAGTCCTCCTAGTGCACGTATTCAAAACAACAGCACTGTAGCTTCAACTGTCTTTTTTTGCAAATTAAAGTCTTGCAGGAAATTGTATTTCAAAAAAGTAGATGTTTGGGATTGAGACTTTCCCTGTTACATAAGGGAAGTTTGTGCAGGCTGATTTGGGGTAGAGCAGGGAGTAAATAAGGCTCAGTCACTGTGTTCTGCATATCTGGGAAAATTGTTTGGATTGGAGTCTCAGCTTCTATGAGGGCAGTGGTGTGAAATGCTTCTATTCTTTTCTTGT